CTCTTCATTACAATTGCTACACTGTTTCTTTCAAAACATTGCATTAAAAGGGTGCTTGACATGGCTATCACTGTTTCAATTTTACAGAGAAAACTTTCTTACGTCACAAAGTGTAGATCCTAAGCAACCATCACATTTTCACTTTGTTCCATCATTGAAACTTTCCCAAGGGCAAGTGCATGACCTTTCAAGAGAGGTGGAACAATTCTCAGGGGACGATCTCTGGGGAGGTGCGCACCTCTCCACACTTCCCTCAAAATCCGGCCTTGATGCAAATAAATCACCACAGCTAGAAAGAGCATACTAAAATAAGTAAATTATTGCAAGGTTTGGTTGCGAATTGTTGCAAAATACGGAAAATATAGCCTTACAAAGTTTGCAAATTTTGTACACTTTTGTATTGCATGCGAAAATTGCAATTATACAAAAGAATACAAAATTTGCAAACTTTGGAAGGCTATATTTTCTACATATTTTACAACATTTTGCAACCAAACTTTGGAATTTTACTAATTTTAGTATGCCCTTCCCAGGAATATACTTTTTTTGCTAAGATAAAAAATTAGTCTATAATGGGAATGTCTATTGGTCCCCATTACCTATTTTTCTTTCTCTAAAATAAACAGCTAGAGTTTTTGTTTCTCTAAATAAAGATAAAGAGCTAGGGGGGGGGCAAAACTTATGTTCTTGTTTTGCCTGTTGGGGGGGGGCTTTGAAAATTTTACTTGTCTTAAGAGGGGGGCAACGAAAAAATATTACAACTGTAGAGTTTCTCCTCAGTCCCCCCCCTGTACAATAAATAATGAGTGGTCCCTAATATAAAATAACCAACCTTGGATATCTAATGTTTGTGAACCAGGATTATATGATGACTTTGTTGTTGTTGAACGACTAAATAAATTTCTACAAAATATTCAAAGTTTTGTACAATTGCTAAAATTATTTTTCATATTCTTTGTGATATAGAGGCAAGAATATCATATCAGCTAACCCTTTAAGTGGCAATGTGCTCTGATGTACCCTACATATATTATTTTGCTCTGTCTCATGACAGATATTATTTTATTGTGTCTATTAATTAAACACCATACAATTTTACTCATTAAGGAGAGTGCTGCCATTCAATGCAATGCACTGCACTCTACTTTGCACACTGTTACTCTAAAGGCCTGAATCCACCATGGCAAAATTCTTTACGCGAATTTGTGTCTGGGAAATATGGATGGTTACACCTGAGTGATTCTTAATATTTGCTTTTCGAAGTGAAATGTTTTCTTGTAAAGCCTAATTTATTTTTACTGTGCATGAACAAATTAATTTTGGGCGAAATGTTTTGCATTTCACTGAGAAAAGGGGCTCATGGAATCAGATGTTAACCTATTGAACCACAATGCGCCCTAATTATTTTTTTTACTTGTCTAACGCCAGACGATTTTACTCGTCAATGGGGAAGCTCTGCAGCTTAATGGGTTAACCAAAAAATCTGACAATGTCTCTATAGTTAATCCATTGAGCCACAATGCGCTTCAGTGCGCCCTACTTATTTTTTTACTCGTCTAATGCCAGACGATTTCACTCGTCAATGTGGAAGCTCTGCAGCTTAATGGGTTAATGTGACCATGGTTCTTGAGACAAGTTTTGTAAATTGGGTTAAAATTATTGGGTAACTTGGTAAAGTGTCGTATCATACATCTATGCATGCTACCTTAACTTTCCTCGCGACTTCTTTCCTTCAAATGTCGACCCGCTGACATCATCCATCCGTCTCAACTTTTCACTTAAGGAATCACCAAAATTGACAGCATTCACACCATCACACAAATCCATGCTAACGTTCAATGGTATGTCCTCAAATCCATTCAGATCTTCCTCATTATGAGGAGTTGAACATATGCCACTGTCAGAACAGCTAGCAACCGAGCTAGTCGTACAATTCTCTACATCCACAGCATCAGACAATAACGGAGGGGATAGCTCATTTGTAGCCCCTGATCTAAGATCTGTGCTAATATCTTCGGGTTTGTGTTCATTCATAACTAAATTGTAGACCTCTTCCTGCAATTTGACAGGAGATTGTGTTTCAGAGTCATAATCACATACAGCCCCATCTGGCTCAGTTCTTCCTTGGACAAGCAATGATATATTGGATTCACTTTCTTCCATTGATTATCAAAATATAAGATCAAATCTTGTTTATTTAACCAGTACCATTAAACACCAAAATCACAGTTGGTGAAAACACCACCGCCTGAAAAGAATTGGAAGCGCTTGGCATCAACGATTAATTAATTTCCCAAGTATAATATCGACATACTTGACTTCACTGACGCTATTATTCCATTTTACAAAAAAATTCGTTTCAAATGTGTTATGTAGCTAGGTTCTTATAAAGACTTCACCATACACAAAAGCATCTATGTAAAGGCGATGTTTTCTTGTTTATATTTTCCTTCTTTATTTGTGTTTTTTTTTGTACAATATTTTTTATTAATAGTCTTAATAGTGACCTCTTTGTTTTTTATTGAAGACGGATGTGCTTGAGCCTCGGCACATCGTACTCAACGTACCGGGCTCGCATACCCCGTACTACCTCGGCTTCCGGTGCTTGTCTCTTCTGCAATATCACAAAGACAAACGAGTTAATAAATTTGTGTTGGAAGTCGAGCGATATTTTTTTCTCGTTTTGATTACATGGAAGCCGTGAGCGGCTTAAAAAGGAGCCAAAATAGGCTGTCTTAATAGTGTCAGTGAACGCACACCGTCTGTGCATACCCTGTTGCACGATCCACCAGCGGATAACAAGAATGCTGAAGGTAAAGATGCGATAGTGCACTAACTTTATATTTTTGTATTTATATTAAATGCCGTGCTTACAATCTAACATGGAAACCATAAATCATTAACTAAGTGCATAAGTAAAGGCCTAAGGAAGGCCGGTCGCTTATTTTCGCTCAAAAACGACAATATATTGCGGGTCAGACATATAATAAAACTTTTCATATTTTTGATTAGAAGCAAGTTTGAGTGTGTACAGCCGGGGCATGTATTATGAGCTCTCCATATAAATAGGATTTGCCAAGGAGAAATTCATTATTTTTATCCAACAAGCAAAATGCGTAGTTTTTACGTGTAAATCTGGTGATGACATTTTGTTTATTGTTAAAAAAATGGGCGAAAAGACTATACTTGCGACAAGTGAAATGTTCTCATTTCTATCAAACTGCGGAATATGAGTTTTCGTTAATTTGTTACAATCCTTAATTTAAACGTGTTCCTTTTCTTTGTTTTAGTCGGGTTTGACGACTTTCGGGTGCTTAGAGCTATCGGACGGGGCGCATTTGGAAAAGTGAGTTAATTTGCTTTCTAGTTGTAAACTTTTCGCATGTATCTCGAGTAACTTAGTGAATATTCCAATTTTTTACCGACAGTGGTTTGCCCAATTAGAGTATTCAAATGTTCTTAAAATGGGTGTTTATTGTAATTTGCGTAAAATTGCGAAAGATTACCCACATAACACAGGCTAGCGTGTTGAATTCTGTTTTTATGCAGTTGGAATTCTCCATAAATATTGACACCAAAGGTTTATAGAGTTTTTAAAACGAAATATATGAGAATTATTATATGTATGTTGGGACATTGGATAATAATTGTCTGTAATAAGTACATAAGGGGGTGTGCATATATAAGAGAAGTGTCTATAAGGAGAGGTTTGAGTTTAACCCATTAAGTTGCATGGCGCCCCCAAGTACTTTATTATTTTACCCTGTCTAATGCCAGATGATTTTACTTGTGAAGGGGAGAGTGCTAGTACTTAATGGGTTAATTCTATGAATTTTTAGGTATGCATTGTGGAAAAACGAGACACAAAGCAAATGTATGCAATGAAATACATGAGCAAGGCAGCTTGCATTGAGAAAGATGCTGTTCGAAATGTGCTTAGAGAAATGGACATTTTAATGGGATTGGACCATAGTTTTCTTGTAAATTTGTGGTTTACTTTTCAAGATGAGGAAGATTTGTTCGTTGTCGTGGATTTATTGCTTGGCGGAGATTTTAGATACCACCTTCAACAGGGAATCAAATTTAGCGAAGATGTTGTGAGGTTTTATGTAGGAGAGATTGCGATGGCTTTGGAATACTTGAGAACTCATAGGATTATACATAGGTAGATTTGAGGTCTAAACGTTCCACTCATTAACGTCAGATCTCTATAGTGTAGCATCCATACACGGAAAGCTTATGGTTGCAATGATAATATCAATTAGGAAAGGATTTAATACCCTCCCTTCCTTTGAATGTTTGCATTCTCATCATGTTACATAAATGATGATTGCTAGTCAAGTGAATGTTGCACAATCGTGTACTCAGTCACGTACTGTAGTCAAGGGGGGCAAAAATCCCAGAAGGGAGCCAAAGGAATATTATCCTGTGCTAGTTCAAATATAGTTTGTTTATTTTCTGAAAATATATTTGGACTCTCTGGCTATTCATGCATAACATAGTACAAAGAATTTGTAGGGAGTCTGGGGTTAGTACAGTACCATTTACTTGGGGGCAAGATGTATGTGATCAAGATTTGGTGAATTATTATTTAACACTCTACTTAATCACAAACCAATCTAAAACATTTAAAACATAGCAAGATATAAAATTTACATTATTAGAAATGAAATTTGATCTGACATTTTCCTGTTGCATGAGATCTTCTGTTGAAGTTCCAAACTTTCCACTGTGACCAGAATATAATAGAGAATATATTTTTTATTATAATTATTATTTATGTATTTCTACACATTAGGGATATCAAGCCAGATAATTTGCTGCTGGATGGCAAAGGTAAATCATATTATAGTTTCACTATTTTGTAGAACTACTTTGTAAATTGATTTTTGTCATTTTCCACTTATGATTTTTAAATTTGTACAGATTTGCATTTTTTTCTTTCTTGAAATTAGGTCATGTGCATCTTACAGACTTTAACGTTGCCACAGTAATGGAGGATGAGAACACTCTGGCAACATCAATGTCCGGCACAAAGCCGTATATGGGTAAGTTTAAGTAGGAATGTAATTTGGGTGTGGTCAATGGAAAAGCATGGTTGAGTATAATTATGTGATTAGGCTGTTGCCTTCCTGCACAACTGTAGAGTTGATGATTATCTAAACAACAAAACTATATCAGACCTGAGTATTTTACACAAATGTGTTGCACTTCACTCATTAATATACTTTCCCTTGACCAGTAAATTGTCTTGTGTCAATCAAATATAATGAATTTTGTTAATATTTTTAATTGAATTGTCTTCAGCTCCCGAGATCTTCAAGACCTCTGTTGGTAAATTGCGTGGATATTCCTATGAAGTTGACTGGTGGAGTTTGGGCATTTCAATTTTTGAAATATTACGAGGAAAAGTAAGTTGTTTGTTTGTTTGTTTTTTTCTTTGTTACAACAATGACTTACATATTGTATAGAAAAGACAACAAAGCTGAATTTTGTATTTATTTAGAGACCATATCATATCAGCTCAAATACAAACATGTCAGACATTATTCAAATGTTTGAATCTTCCTGTTTAATGTTTCCTTCCTCATGGTCTAAGAACTTTAAAGATCTTGTTAAAAAGGTAAAATTTTACTCCATTTCTATTGAGACTGTTGGCCAAGATATCTCTCATCATCATCATCATCATGGTTTTCCCCTCAGGGGAAACAATAACAATGGTTAACAACTGGTATAATGTATTTTCTTCTTTTCTTTAGCTTCTGCATATTGATCCAAACATAAGGCTCAACAGTGTTGAGAAACTCAAGGAATGTGAATTAATGCAGTCAGTTAACTGGGAATCATTGTACAGAAAAGAGATAACCATTCCATTTACTCCCTCTGTAAGTGAATGTTTCAAACCTTTATCAATTCTCTTATGTCCATGTTGACTTTTTCATATCTTTGAAATATTACAGAAAGATCATTTAAATTGTGATCCAACATATGAATTAGAAGAGATGATCATTGAACCGAATCCACTTCACAAGAAAAAGAAGCGGTTAGCAAAACAAAACAGCAATAAAGTGGTAAGTGAATTGTCAGAAATTCTGTTGGAATTATAAAGGCATATACCAGGGCACTTATATAGATTATAGTTATGATAGTCAAGAACTTAGTAATTAGTAAAGGACCTATAGTCATAGTCAAGGACTACAGTCGCTTTTACATAAGCGCTCTGGCGTTCACCTACAATACAGCTCTTGAATCCTACTACTTGAACAATACTCGAGTCATTACAATTCAATTTTATTATAGGATACTGGCAATGTACAATTAACTCCAATGCAAATGAAGTTAGATACACTAGGCAAAAAATTTAAGCCGTATAATCGAGAGAGGTATGTTCTGGAATTAATTTATGTAGCATTCAAACTCAGCATTCATCCAGCTATTTGCTTTGTACTAGGTAACACTCCTTCTAACACTATGTCCAAATATCCGCCTTAGTGTTAAGCCTTGGGCAAACTAGAAAACATTGTTGCAGAAACATTGTTTCCTGCCAATGTTTCGCCATGTTTCCCAAGGTGGAAAACACTAGGAAACAATGTTTCCGCAACAAAAATCGCACTTGGGAAGCATGAAATGTTTCTGAATTTGATAGGAAACATTTCTGCTTCTCGGGAAGCAAATTGTGTTTTTGCAACGATGTTTCTACGGGTGGGCAAACACAGAAACACTTGAAGAAACGTCGTGAATCACAATGTTTCCGCAAGAATGTTTCCTAGTTTGCCCAAGGCTTTAGCACTTAGAGAGGTTCAGATTTGACTTCCAATACCGCCTCCTCTCCTTGGCTCAGTACGCATCTAATTGGTTAATCGGATATACAGTAATATAAACGCATCTGATTGGTTATTGCATGGTCCTTTGATGGTTGTGGAAGTCACGTCTGAACCTCTCTACTGGACAAACTATGCAGACGAGCAAGGACGAATAGCGTGTTTTATCCTGACAGTGGTTCTGGAAACGAACCGTGCTTGATTTTGTGCCTGACATTTCTCTTATTTATAAATATGGATTTCTACTACATGCCAGATCTGTTTGTTGAATTTATACATGGATGATGGCGAACGTTTCTCAGGGTAGCCTGTAGGAGAAAATTCAACTTAACGAAATATCATAGTGTTTTTATCAATTATTAACCAAAATGGCGCTTATAATCCGGTAAATCAGAATGCTTGACACTCTGTGCAGTACGTGGTTACCTTAAAGCATGCATCTAACTGATATGACTTTGAATTCATTCACATTTGCCATTTGGGTAATTGTTTCAGCGTATAGGTATTACTGCCCCCTGGCAGTAATACCTATATATATATATATATATATATATATATACCTATATGATAAAACATTCTGGGTACGGCTTTGTCTTTTTTATACCAGACTGTTCATTCCGACGGATTATTTCTCTGAAAGATGATCCCTTTCAGCCTAGACCTAGGGCCTTCTATTTGTACTGTATGTATTTCAGCGCTTTTTCACGTGAAGATGGCATTAACCTGCAAATCAAGTGCCGCCTGCCAGGTATAGGCTCTGGGGCCTAGGCTGGGTCCCTTTGTTTGTGAACATATAATCAAATAAACCCAAGTTCGCAGAGACGGAACATATGTCTTCTAATATCAAACTGCCCTTCTCGCGTGTAGAGAGAAAATCCTCAAGGATCAAAAGAATGTGAATAATTTTGACGATAAAAAAATTCCTGAAGAGGATGATGCCGCGAGTTCGGAATTGGTTGAATTACAAAACGGGGTTGAAGTAAAAGAGAAAACACAACCAAATGAAACGGAAGATAAAATTTCCGAAGAAGAGAAGCAAGTGGATGTTGTGGAAGATGATAAAGACGTAGCGAGGGTGACAGAAGAAACTGAAATTGAAAGAAAGAGTTTTCCAAACGACAAAGAAAGATTAATTGAAATAGCGGAAAAAGCAAAAATGTCAGAAGACACTGAAAAGTCAGAAAGCCTTGAAAGGGAGGATATTATAGATAACAAACCGGAAGAGATTATAGATAATGACAGAAAGGAAGTAACTATAGAAGACAAGGAATCACTATTACCAAATGACAAACTAGATTCAGAAAAACACGAGAACCGTGTTTCCACAGTATGAAGGATTTTATATTCCTACAGAAATGTTTTGCCAGAGAAATTTTAATATCACTTGCACTAATTCACTTGCACTTGAAACTCAGAAATCATAGAAATGGATATTTATTTTATGTTTATTTCAAATAGTATAGTTGTCTTACAGATGGACATTTTATTAAAGACATTAAAGACAACTAATTTACATATACACAGATACACGGTTACCCACTAAAATTTCACCCCAGTTTTTGTGATTGGCCATTCGGTAAAGAACCAAAATGATTTTAGTATGTGTCATTGACCGATTCCAAAACTAGCCGCCACAGTTTTCCATTATTATACATTTTATGCATTACCGAACTAATAAACATTTTTTTAGCGCCATTCAAAGTGTAAGACTTTTAAGATTGAAACAATCCATACAAGCCCAATTATAGCCAATATAGGCTAGTCATGCAGGCTTGTTTGCTAAATCTACCACAAACGCCTGTATTTTTAACATTTAATTTCTCAAAGCCGGGAATACATAGACATAGTATTTATATTTTGTCAAACTGTTAGTCTTGAAGTATTCTACAAGGCAGCAGTGATTACCTTGGTTGAAATTAAATGTGGAAGAAAAAAGAATGACAACCTTTTTGGAGTCGGTCTATATCTTGGTCGGCATTCTGTGAAGACACGTAATCTTTGTTAACGTTGGAAAACCTCATCTTTATGGAAATATTTTTCACTGTCATAGACATAGTTGGTAGATGCGAGGTCATTATATAGATGAATTACATTTGTAAATTTATTAAATTTGTAAATTTCTTCCTCGTTGTGCTTTGACAATGAGAAAGTTGATCAAGATGAGGTTTTTACTACTCGTACCAAAAATCTTATTTGAACTGAAGTTTATAGTGACACTTGACCTGATCAACTTTACCTTTGATTGGGTTTGCGCAAATCTCAGAGCTGCTCCCAATTGGTCGATTAATTGATTATTTTTTAATGTGTTTTAGCAAGCGATTATTAGCAACAAAACAACTGCGCTTGATATCTTTCTTTCTCATTTGAAAAAACTACGAGGAGATGGCATTGTCGGTGTGATTAAATGACAAACCCGACTTGCTTTTTATTTCCCTGCTAACACATCGTGCCTAGATTTGTTCAGTGCGATTAATCGATTGTAATCGATTGTTGGAAGCAGTTCTAAAACACGTGTGGTGTTAATTGATTCTGTGGAGTTTAAGAACTCTAAATTTTGGATGTTACATAGTAGATTTAATGTAAGAAAATTAAATAAACGATTGAATTTGCATCATTCGCACAATATATTTAAACACAGAATAGGAAGTTATACCAGAAGCGTAACTCTAGTCGTTTCCCTTATTGTTTGACGTCCACGAAAATTTTAACTCGCTCACGTCAGGCCACGCCATCCTGGCTAGTACAGCCGGAAGTTTTTATCAGGATTTGGTAGGTACAAAGTGCCGGTTGTACTAGCCAGGATGGCGTGATTGATGACGACGAATCGCTTGTAAAAACGCGGACAAATTTTTGCTCGAGTTACGCTTCTGGTATAACTTCCTATTCTGTGATTTAAAGAAGTAGTGTTGTTACTATGGTTACGCCAAGCAACCAAAAGCAAAAACAAATATGGCGGCCGCACTAAGATGTGTATATGATAATTCACACATGTTTCTTCAAGACGGTTCAACTACACCGCTTCCAAAGCCTTACTTGCCATCCATACCGCCTGCAAAAACCCGGAAACAATCTTATAGCAGGTATGCCAAGTCTTAAAGTTTGTATTTTGGTATTTATAAATTCCCTAATCACTGCTTTTGTAATTCAATCGTTTTCAATTAAAAGTTTACACTTGTGATACAAATATACAATATAAATTTACAAATGCCAATATTTGTATGATAGCATAGAGTAATATGTATAATTATTTGCATATAAGTATGTATGTGTATATTGTATACAGTATATGTATGACATTTTTCCAAAAAGTGCTCAAACTCTCAGTAGTTCATTACTTCACTAAAAAATAGAAAAATCTAATTTTTCCAATGTTATAGCTTAACAGTTTAAAGGTGCTGGTTTTGTTAGGTAATGTTGAAGCTTCAAGGCTGAATACAAGTGGTAATAACTAACATTTATTGAGCTCACTCCAAAGGTTGTTTGCTCAAAAACCTACATTTTGTTTATACAAGAAGCAGTCCTATGACTGCATGAAACTTGAAATTGGTGGAAACCTGTTTTATGTATTTGTTTTATGTATATATTCAATTTATTTTTAATTTAATATAAGTAATATTTTCTTGTATTTTTGAAGGTTTGTACATGAAGCACCCTTGTTGGCTTTATCTGGCACAAGATATGACACTAAACCTCCCCCTAAGGTATGTGAGAATTTGAGGAATGCAAAACGTTTTCTCACACACTGAGATTATATGACAGAATAGACTATATAGAAGCCTGACCTCTTGATTTTTCCAATGATTTTGGCATAACTGTAATTTGTCATCAAAATGCTGACGCCATGGGCCTTGATAGGCATTCCCCCCCTGAAAATATTCAAAATGGTGGATGTCCGGGGGGTAATGCCTCTCATTAGCACACTCTTAGCCCATGGCGTCAGCATTTTGATGATGAATCATGGCATGGTATAGCGGTTTCTCGGGTACATTGACCTTCTGTATGTCTTTATTCTGTGATGTGGTAGCATGCTAAGAAAGCATATTCTCAAAACAAGGGAGTCTCTATATTGGGCTAGCCTGGGCTCAGTTTAGGCTGCCTGGCTATCCTGGTTCATGTCATGAATATGTTTTTCTTTGTGGCAAAATGTAATTTTAATTACAACTAGTCGAAGGCCCCAGTTACACAATACCAGAATCACTTTTTACTACACCAATGTATGCTGCCTGAAAATATTCAAAATGGTGGATGTCCAGGGGGTAATGCCTCTCATTAGCACACTCTTAGCCCATGGCGTCAGCATTTTGATGATGAATCATGGCATGGTATAGCGGTTTCTCGGGTACGTTGACCTTCTGTATGTCTTTATTCTGTGATGTGGTAGCATGCTAAGAAAGCATATTCTCAAAATAAGGGAGTCTCTATATTGGGCTAGCCTGGGCTCAGTTTAGGCTGCCTGGCTATCCTGGTTCATGTCATGAATATGTTTTTCTTTGTGGCAAAATGTAATTTTAATTACAACTAGTCGAAGGCCCCAGTTACACAATACCAGAATCACTTTTTACTACACCAATGTATGCTGCCTGAAAATATTCAAAATGGTGGATGTCCAGGGGGTAATGCCTCTCATTAGCACACTCTTAGCCCATGGCGTCAGCATTTTGATGATGAATCATGGCATGGTATAGCGGTTTCTCGGGTACGTTGACCTTCTGTATGTCTTTATTCTGTGATGTGGTAGCATGCTAAGAAAGCATATTCTCAAAATAAGGGAGTCTCTATATTGGGCTAGCCTGGGCTCAGTTTAGGCTGCCTGGCTATCCTGGTTCATGTCATGAATATGTTTTTCTTTGTGGCAAAATGTAATTTTAATTACAACTAGTCGAAGGCCCCAGTTACACAATACCAGAATCACTTTTTACTACACCAATGTATGCTGCCTGAAAATATTCAAAATGGTGGATGTCCAGGGGGTAATGCCTCTCATTAGCACACTCTTAGCCCATGGCGTCAGCATTTTGATGATGAATCATGGCATGGTATAGCGGTTTCTCGGGTACGTTGACCTTCTGTATGTCTTTATTCTGTGATGTGGTAGCATGCTAAGAAAGCATATTCTCAAAATAAGGGAGTCTCTATATTGGGCTAGCCTGGGCTCAGTTTAGGCTGCCTGGCTATCCTGGTTCATGTCATGAATATGTTTTTCTTTGTGGCAAAATGTAATTTTAATTACAACTAGTCGAAGGCCCCAGTTACACAATACCAGAATCACTTTTTACAACACCAATGTATGCTGTTCAGGAGTAATGTCTGTCCACAAAATTTCCCCCTTTAATAGTTTTCATTACAAGCAAATACGATACTGTGTAACTGGGATCTAAACTTTTATTTTTTCTGAAAGTCTTGAATAAGCCACTGTATGTAAGACATATTGGAAGAAATTAGTCCACATGTATAACCAGGCTGGCCTGTTGTGACAATTACAAACTGCCCCTAAATGTGAAATTCTAATTCAGTTTTTAAAATTGTTCTGTTATTGATTTGTATAGTCGCCGTGTGTACCCAAAGGTCAAAAACGAGCTTTGGTTGGTCTGACTAATCGATGGCGACTACCAGAAAATGTTGCATCTGATCTACTAGGCTCATCTCAAGCCATGAAGTCTGTATTTGTGCCTTACAATGAAACTTTAGTACCCATTAACACAGGTACAGTCACATGTGATCAAATGTTGTTGTAGTTCACACACTGAGTTCTAACACTTAATAAAATAATAAAAGTACGGCACATCATAGTGCATGCAACTTCATGGATTAACTATACTTAGAACATTGCTATAGGAAAAAACCAAGATGGCGGACGGTCGCGTTCTGACTAGCTCTGTCAGTTGCCTTCAAAACAATCTTTATAACTGGGACTTGACCGAAATACTTCGCTACAAAGAAGCGAATAGCTTTACTTATGTTGGCAATCGAATTAAATGGATAGATACTTTTGACATGTTGAAAATATTTACGAAAAATGCCATTGGTCAG